AACCCAGCCTTCCTCCCTAGGGTGCGCCTTCCCTCTGCAGCTTTCCAGCCATTTCTGACAGCACCCCCAGGATTCTCCTTTTCTGAGCCACCCCTTGCCCCGTTCCTGTTGCCTCCGGTGCCCTCCTGGCCGGAGCTGGCTCCTGCAGACCCCACTAGCGCGGCTGGCGCCAGCTGCACCTGCCTCCTCCCGGGTGGGCGCCCGCGCAGACTGGGCTGGCATTGTCAGCGTCCAGACAAAGGGGCTGTTCTGTGGGTGGGAGGCCGCTGGCGGTGACACAGCTACTCTCTCAGTCTGGGCCCCCCCGGAGGCACAGCACGAGCGAGCTGGGGCCTAGCGCCAATGGGGGCACGTGATGACAGAGCTACAGGGCCCTGCTGTGGCTCTGGCTGTGGGAGTGGGAGGCAGGGCTCCCGGCGAGCCCAGACCCGCTGGGTCCTCTGGCGCCCAGTTCCCTGCCCTGCGTGGGGCGAGGGTGGCGCTACATACCTTCCCACTCATGCCCTCTGGAAGGCTCCCAAGGCCTGGGCTTGGGTGGGAGGGTGTTAACATCTGCCCATGAGCGCCCTTCCCTCCGGTTCGTGCTGGTCCTTGGCCTGCCCTTAGGGGCTAGTTACCCTCTCGCCCGATGGAGACGAGTCGGGACCACTGGCTCAGACCAGTCCCTTGTGGCTCAGGGCAGGCTGGGCAAGCTGGGGTTGGCTGGGTGGAGGTGGAGCGGCAGGAGTGCCTCCAATGCGCCCCTGTCCGCGGGGCTCAGCAGTGGCCTCTCCTACCGCGGGAGTAGCCAGAAAGCTGGGGCTGGGAGGGCCCCAGGGACTTGCTCAGAACAGCCAGAGCTCTGGTGCTCAATCTCCACCCTCACTTTCCCAGCAGGACAGGCCCCGATCCAGGCGCCAGCGGGGGATGCAGGAGTTGTGGCTTCAATTCCCGGCTCTGTTACAGCTTCCCCATGTGCCCTGGGGAAAGTCCCTTAGGCCGAGATTGCCAGAGGTCGAAACCTTGTAGGCAGGCGTAACAATCTGAGCTTTCCTCTCTCTGCGAAAGGGGCAGAACGTCCCCGCTCCTGCCCCTTTGCCTGCCTGGTCAGTGCA